TAATGTTGCTTATGCAAATAATGCACAAATTCATTTCATTTGTACAAAATTAAAGAAGCCAGGCTAAGGGCAGCAGACCTCCAGCTCCAGCGTTCTTGCACTTGTCAGCTGGTTACTTTGCTTTTAAAAACTTTTCCTGGACTGAAGTGTAGCTCAGGGGTGATGGCTTGGCTAGCATAGACGAGGCCCTGGGTTCTATCCCCAGCACCACAAAAAAACAAAAAACAACCCTTCCCCCCCCACACACACTTTTCCTACACATAGAGAAGTACTGTTTTCCCAGGCCAGCTATAACAAAGCGCCAAGTTTATTCTCGCTCACTTCTGGGGATCCCCGTGTAGGCAGGGCCACTCCTTCTGAGGCTGGGGCAGGAATCTGTTCCTGGCCTTCCTCCAGCATCTGGTGATGGCTGGTGATCTTAGGCGTTCCTTAGTTTGCAGAAGTGTCACTTGATCTCTGCCTCCATCTTCACAAGACGTTAGCACGGAACCTGTGTCTATGTCTGTATTTCCCCTTTTTATAAGGACACCAGTCATATTGGATCAGGCCCAACACTGATGATGTCATCTTAACTAATTCCATCTGGATAGACCCTATTTCCAAATAAGGTCACCTTCAGGGACCCAAGGGCAGGAGGGAGGAGAGGGGGAGTACAGCCTAGAAGAGTTGGGGGTGAGAACCCCACCCCCAGCCAATGCATATACATATATCGTCGTTCACAGATGTGCCTTCATGACTGTGTGCTCCTACAAAAACGTGTGGTCACAAGTAGACTCACAGCAGGGATACATTGAGCCACCCCTTTGAACAGCGACTTAAATATTAATAAGGAAAGACAGGACTGTAAAATAGGTACAATGTGGGGGGGCTCTAGGGGGAGGGGAGGGGAAAGAAGGAGAGTAAGGTGAGGGAACATGGCTGATGGATTCACGTACTTATATGAAACAGCAAAGAAACTTCTTGCAATTGTTTTAAGTGGGGCGAGGAGGGGGACGAGGGGGAGTAATCTAACCAATGTACAATGTAAGCCTATTTGGAATTGTCACTATGAATCCCCCCTGTACAATGAATATATCCTAATTGAATGTGTGGTCCTGCCAGGTGCGGGCGACTCACGCCTGTAATTGTAGTTACTTGGGAGGCTGAGATCGGGAGGATCAGGAATTGAGGCCAGCCCAGGCAAACAGTTCTTGAGACCACCCATCTCCAAAACAACCAGAGCAAAATGGACTGGAGGTGTGGCTCAAGCATTTGGGTGCCTATTTTGCAAAAGCAAAGCCCTGAGTTCAAACCCCAGTCCCACACAAATAAAATAAATAAAATGGGTGATCCTATTGTTATTTGGTTTTTATTACACCACTGCCTTCACCTGCACTCTGCTCCTTTTTCAACTCCATAACCTAGACAACGGTTTTGCGTCAGGCATGCGCAGTCACGCATTCCCGCTGACAGCAGCCTAGCAAGCGCTGCGTGACCGTGCCAACTGCGTGGCCTGACTCCCACCTTACGGTCGTGTCTCTATTGCGTCACTGCAGCCTCTGCTTTAAACATCCCTGACTTGGGTTGGGGGCGGCTCAGTGGTGAGTGAACCAAGGCCCTGGGTTCATCTCCAGTGCTACAAGATTTAACTCGAGAAAAAAAGAAAAAGAATCCAACACTTGTTAGGAAGAATTTTCCTACTTAGGGGTTCTCACCCGGCGGTGATTCCACCCCCAGCTCCATACTAGGTAGTGCCTACAGAGATTTTTGGTTGTCAGGACTATGGGGTACTGGACCTACTGTGCCCAGGGCAGAGATCCACAAGGCACAGACTGTCCCCATCACAAAGGACAATCTTGTCCCAAGTGTCAGAGGGCTACCAAATCCTTCTCTAGCCTCCCATTTCCCTGTTGTTCCAGAGGGTGATTTTATTTATTTTTGGCGGCACTGACGTTTGAACTCAGGGCCTCACAATTGCAAGGCAGGTCCTCTACCATGTGCGCCACTCCACCAGCCCTTTTTGAGTTGGGTAATTTCGAGATAGGGTCTCTCAAACTATTCACCCAGACTAGCTTTGGATCCTGCTGATCTCTGACTCTCAAATAACTAAGGATTACAGGCATGAGCCACTGGCACCTGGCTGCATTTTGTTTTTGAGACAGGGTCTCACTAACTTCACCAGGCTGGCCTACAGCTGGTGGTCCTCCTTCTGCCTCTCAAGCAGCTGAGATTAGGGGCTGGAGGTGTGGCTCAATGGTAGAGCGCCTGCATAGCAAGCACAAAGCCCTGAGTTCAAACCCCACTACCACCACCACCACCACAAAAAAAAAAAAAAAAACCCAGCTGGGATTATAGGTATGTACCACCACTCCAGGCTCCACAAGGTTATTCTCACCTCCATTCTACAGAGAGAAACTGAGGCCTGGGGGCTTGCAATGAGATGGTCTCCTGCTACACCCTTAGATCTAAAGATTTCTCTGGAGTCTGGGAACTCCCTCCACCTCCTTCCTGAGCCTGGGCCAGATGGGATCAAAGCAAGGCCCCCTGTACCCTGAGGCTGGACTGGGGCCACCAGGACATCCGATCCCTGGCCAAGGGAGAAGGGACGCAGACCTAGCGTCCGAAGTGGCTGGGACGCTCTGGGGACTTCAAAGGCTGCCAGGATCTCACCTGACTCCCAGCTTTTATGTTGGACCCGAAGGGAATGAGAATTCATGGCTCCTTCCTGGCCTCCCTTGATCTAGGCAGTGCTTTCTCTGATCTTCGCCCCAAATTCACCCCCCTCTTTTGTGGGACACATATCCTCTCCACTCATTTCCAAGGGTTGAGAATAAACCATTTCCCTCACCCCACTGAACTTATTTCTGCCTCTGTCCCCTCCCCTGGCTGGAGATCTGACATCCTCATGGCTTCAGTCCTGCCTTGGGGTGAGTGGGGTGGGGGTGTCAGCCAACAAAACTTGCTTTGATCTTGTCTGACCCAGGCCCAGGATGATGGAGGAGGGGTTATCTCATCTCAAAGCCCATGATTTCCAGCCACCTCAGGGTGACATCCTGGCTCCTTACCTACCAAGTCCACCATGTTTCTCCGGCTGACTTCTCCAGCCCTGGGGCGGCTGAATGAAGGAAGTAGCACAGTTCTGCTCTGCCCCTGCCCCAGGATCAAGGCTAACCTTGTTCCTGCTTTCCCCACACAGTCAAGGGTCAGGAAATAGTTGGCTCTAAAAGGACCAGAGCCAGAGATGGGCATGGTGGTACATACCTATAGTCCCAGCTACTCAAGAGTTTGAGACCAGAGTGGACAAAAAAGGTAAGTGAAACCAACCAAACAAACGAAACAACAAAAAGGGATCAGAGTCCAAAGACACTCCTCTCCTGCTGAATCTGCCCCTAAGATGCTTCAGGGACACCTTCTGGACTCTGGGCCAGCAGAGAAACCAGAAGGCACTGGCCTTTCCCCATTCAGGTGGACCCTTTCCTGCTAGTAAATAGATAGCTCGAAGACACTGGAGGTCACCTGAAGCTGAGTTCTACTCCTCAGTCTTCCTCTAGTCAGCTGCATGTCCTCCTGCAAGTGACCTGGGTCTGAGCCTCAGTTTCCACATCCCTAAAATGGGCACGAAGTGGTATCTGATCTCTCAGGGATGGTGGATGAAACGAAAAACTTAGACCAGTAACCCAGCCCTAGGGAGGAAAGAATTGAGGTTCTTATCTCTCCTTATCCTTTTATCTCCCCCACAAGGTCAACCCATATCTCCAGTCTGTCTCCTGTCCCCTGCCACTGCCAGGTTATCTCTCTTGAGCTTCTGATCTCCCTGCCACCCATTTTCTATAGAAGCATGCACGGTATGAATTGGTGCAGGGGTCTGTACCAATTGACAAGAGTCCAGCCTGGTGGGGGAGACAGAGTTGGGGTGGCAGATACTCAGATATGATGGTATGGCACAGGGAACCTGGGGAGCCCAGATCAACAGGGAAGGGCGCAGTGCTGGAAAGGCTTCCTGGGTGAGACTATGAAGACCTAAGAGTTCTGTAACTTTTAATGTACATTGTACCCATTCTAGGCTGGAAAGACTCTACTTTTCTGCATTTAAGAGATTTGTCCCAGAGGAGACAAGCCCAGAGGGAGTGGGGCTGTTCTTCACTTTAGGATTCTGATCCCAGAGTGCAAGTTTCAAAATTCCGCGGGGGGCCTGGCCTGGTGGAGCAAGTTTGTAATCCCAGCACTCAAGAGGCGGATGCAGGACGATCACGAGTTCCAGGCCAGCCTGGGCTGCACTGAGAGACCCTGGTTCAAAAAGCAAAAAGAAGAGAAAAAAAAAAAAGAAGGAAGAAGGAAAAAGAGGCCTGGGGGCCGGAGGAAACCGCACCAGCGCTCGGAGGAACTTGCAGCTGCTGGCGTCTGAGGATCCCGGGCGGGAGGGCGCCTCATTCGCTCGACTCCCCGCAGGCCCCTGACGCCCGCCGCCCGCTTCCCGGCGGCCCGTGCAGTGGACGGAATTGGCCTCCGCCACGTGGGGCGCTTGGCACCGTCGGCGCTCATTAAATGCCAGCCGGTGTTAGAAGGCTGAGCCCCATTATTATCCGTAATTACTAATTAATTAGTATTAATGCATCCCCTCCGCGTGCCAGTGGGGCTCTCTGGGCCAGGAAGTCACCCGGCCCCGGGGCAGGCACAGTCTCTGTCCCCACCCACCCGCGCCCCCATCCCACCCGGTCCTCGCCGGCCCGTCTCGTGAAGCCGTGGCGGTGGCCGGGGCTGGAGGCGGGAGTCTGGGTGGCGGCCCGCAGCGGCGCCACTTCTCTGTTTTACCCTCCTTCAGCCACAGGCCGAGCGTCCCGCAATCACCCAGCGCACAGGCCGGGCGCTAGGACCACGTGGGCGCTGCGTGTGGCGGCGCCCTTCTCCTTGGTGATTGGCTGGCGGGTCCCGGTGCGCTGTTCCGATTGGTGGAGACGGCCGCCGCTCCCCGGGATTTCCCCGCCGCAGCCCCGCCCCGTCGAGGCCACAGTCTCCCGGCCCGCGGGCTGGGCGGCCGCAGAGGTGATCGCGCGCGGCCACAGGGACAGTGGGGTCCCCGCGCGGAGGATCCGGAGCGCGGTGCGGGTCCTGGGCGGCCTGGTAGGGCCCCTTCTGCCCCGAGAAGGGTGTACGTCTCCAACCGCCAGGCGACATGGGCCCGGGGCCCCGGTCGGCCGGAGCGGGGACATCCCCGCAGCCACTGTCCCTGGCAGCGCGGCTCAGCTACGCCGTCGGCCACTTCCTCAACGACCTGTGCGCGTCCATGTGGTTCACCTACCTGCTGCTCTACCTGCACTCGGTGCGCGCCTACAGCTCCCGCGGCGCCGGCCTGCTACTCCTGCTCGGCCAGGTGGCCGACGGGCTGTGCACGCCACTCGTGGGCTACGAGGCCGATCGCGCCGCCGGCCACTGCGCCCGCTACGGCCCGCGCAAGGCCTGGCACCTGGTCGGTAAGCCTCGCCCCCTGCCCGGCCCCAGCCTCCTCCGTCTGTCTCACAGCCCGTGTCCTTCTGCGGTGTCCCTCCCGAGCCTCTGCCACCTGTTCGCCACCCAGCCTGAGCCTCTTCCCTCTATTGCCTGCCTGATGTCCTGACCCTCTCCCCTCTGTCTGTCTGTCCATGACCTGGACTTCCTCACTCTGTTCCCCCACACCCTGAGCTGCCCTGTCTCCCAGCCGGTGATTAAAGCCTCCCCCCGCCGTCTGTCCCAAGGCCCAGCGTCCCTTGTCTGCCTGATGGCTGCAGTCAGACCTGTGATGCCCCCTCTGTCTGAGTGTTCCAGGGCATTCCCTTTTCTGTATGCCTCCTGGGGGTGCCTGGCCTGGTCTGACTGTCCAATGCCTCCTCTGTCAGTCTGTCTGGTACAGCCTGACCTTCCCCATCTATCCATCAGAGTGACCAGACAGGACAGCTGTTAAAGGAGCCGGCTCCTAGAACCCATGCTGTCTGTCTGTCCTCCAGAGGACCCTTGTGTATCTCTGCCCCATCCTTGGGCAACCAGGTGCCTTGGGGGCCTTGAGGGGGCTGCCCAGGGCTGAGGGGGCCTGCTCTCTTCCCATCTGGCCAGGCTTGGAAGCCTGCAGAGAGGGTTATAGGGGACCCTGTGCATGGAGGCCCAGGGCGAGGCAGGAGTCTGATAAGGCCCAGGACCTGCCTCCGGTAGCCCAGTGCCTGGACCTCTAGATTAGCCCTGATGTCATCGCCCTGTGTTCCTCCTGGCATCTCGCACTGGCATGACCAGAGGCAGGGCCAGGAGCTCTGCCCACTGCTTCCCAGAGGATTCCAAGCACAGCTTTCTGGACAGCAGACAGATCTGGCTATTACCTCCTTGCCCTAAGGGGCAGTGTTTTGACCCAGGCTCTTCCTTGTAAGTGACATATTTTGCAAGATGCAACAAATCTCTTAGTGGCTTGAGGGTGACAGGTGGCCCTCTTTCTGTGATACTGCCTGGGGACTGGATGTTCAGGTTTCTGAGGGATGCTTGGATCACTTGAGACTGTGGCAGACCTGGGATGGGGAACAGGGACAGAAGAGCTGTCCTCATTTAGCTGATGTTGGGAACAGAGGCAGAGAACTGAGTGCAAAGCTTTGCTCACGGAAGTTGAGGAAATTCTTTGGGAAACACACAAGATAATTCTTGTCTGGGACAGACCCATCTGTGGAGCTGAGCCAGCCAGAGGAAGGTATCCCTTGCAGAGGACGCCGCATGTGCAAAGTCCCTGAGGTGGGATCTGTTACCAGCTCGGAGCCTTCAGGCCTGACCGGGTGCTCCTGTCAAAGGTGGGGGGCCTGAGGTTTGGTGAGGGTGCTGCTGACTCCAGAGGAGGCATCTGAGACCCCCAGCAGAGGTGGGGCGTGGCAGAGGTGGTGGGGGGAGTGGCTAAAGAGGCACCTTTGCCATAAATGAAACTTTGTGTTTGTGCCAAATGGGGCTTGGGGGATTGGTGCTTCCACTGACACCAGGGCTCCTACCTGCACCCTTCCCTTCCCACCCCTCTCCCACCCAATGGAAGCCAAGTGCCGCCCTTTGTAATTTGTGATAGGGTGACCAGTGATGGTTACCTTGGCAACTGTGCCACTTCTCTATTTTACCCGAGTCTGGATGGGTGAATATGGGCACATTCCTTCCTTTAACAAGCGCCCCAGGATTTTGCTTCAATCGAGAGCCAGGCACAGGGACAGATAGTGAGACCGGGTTTCAGAAGGAAGAGGAGACATTGACTGTGGGGTTTTGTGGGATGAGTAGGAGTGGGGGAGGGGGGAGCGGCATTCCTAGGACTGGCAACAGCTGTGGAGCTTATAAAGCTGCTGAGGCAGGAAGTGGCTCAGAGTAACTGGAGGGCCCTGCCAGCTTTGCACATCAACTCTTATCTTCAGGTCAGTTACCTCTGTGTTTTGGAAGCTGAGGCACAGAGAGGCAAAGTCACTTGCCAGGGTCCCCGAGCCAGGTGCCCTGGCTCCAGCAATGGTTAACACAGCCCAGGCGGCAGCAGGGTGGATCCAGCCAGGGAGGCCCCTTTCTCTGACTAGAGTACACAGTCCAGTCCAGGCTCTGCCTCGGGGCAGCCCCCAGGCCAGCAGAAACCTGCCCCACTCCTCTGTTGCCCCACCCCAGTTCCAGGAAAAACGGTGGCTTTTAGGATCTAGGTGGTCTGGTTTCATTTCCCAGCTGAGGGGCGGGCAGGCCAGGAGGGGATGAGGTCACCTCCTGGTAGGAGGAGGAAGTCCAGGCTTCCAGGCACCATGCAGGGGCCCCCAGGCATTCCAGGCTGGAGGGTGAATCATGGCTCAGAGCTGAGGCTGCACCCAGCTCCGCTCACTCAGCGGGCCTGTTTTCTCATCTGGAACGGGAGGGTGACATAGCCTTTTAGCCTGTAAATAGACCCTATATTATTTGACCCATCCTGACAGGTCAGGCTCTGTGCTGGGTGCCTAGGACAAGTGTAACGAGAAGACGGGCTGCAGGGAAGGGGCTGACCAGGGAGGGCTTCTCTGAGGAGGTGATACATGGGTCCAGACTGAAGGGTGAAGGGACCTTACTAAGAGATAAGGGGAACGCGATGCACACGCAGCCACAGCCTGTGCAAAGGCCCTTGGGGCAGGACAGAGCTGGTGTGTTGAGCAGTGAGGAGGCCTGTGTGGCTGGAGCAGGGGGATTGAGGGGAAGAGGGAGGGGGAGGCAGGGTCCTGTAGGCCACCAGGAAGTCCTGCATTTAGTCTGAGGTACTGGGGCTTCTGACTGTGTGGAGGGGACATCTAGCACCCAGAAGGTGGCAGGCTCTAGTTTCCTGTTCCAGGTGGCCTCAGTTCCCTGGGAAGCGCCAGGGATAGCAGGGTCCACTCAGAGCCTTGTGACTTCTGGGCACACCACGGGACGCCTGGTAACGGCCCTGTGTGTGCCGAGCTGGGGAGCAGGGCGGCTTCCTGGGCCTGCAGCTGAGGGGAAGTTGGGGCTCTAAGTGAGGGGCCTGTGAGAGGCGGGCAGCTTTCTAGAGGGCCCTGTAGGCCGAATGACCTGCTGCGTGACCTCCATCAGCCTTGGTCACCTTCCCCACTGGTCCCCAAAGGGGTGACCAGGTGCCCTGGACTGGCATATCCCTTCTGGTCACAGGTGTGTGGCCTCAGTTTCCCCACCTGACCAGTTGGAGGCCTGGTCCCTCTGTCCTTTCGGGCTGCCTCAATTTCCCTACACTTCTGTCACACTGCTGAATCTCCAGCTATTTCTGTACTGATTTAGTCCCCGCTTGTCACCCCCAGGGAGCCTTGGGCTGGTGTGGGAGGACCCTGTGCTATGACTAACATCCCCTGCGCCACCACAGGCACCATCTGTGTCCTGCTGTCCTTCCCGTTCATCTTCAGCCCATGCCTGGGTTGCGGGCCGGCCACGCCAGAGTGGGCCGCCCTGCTCTACTACGGGCCCTTCATCGTCATCTTCCAGTTTGGCTGGGCTGCCACGCAGATCGCCCACCTGAGCCTCATCCCGGTGCTGGTCACCAGTGACCACGAGAAGGTGGAGCTTACAGCCTCAGGTACCCCTGGGCCGGGCAGTGAGGCTGGCCCCTGGAGAAATGGTGTATCGGTCAGCTGTGGCTGCACTCAGGTCTCATCCCACAGTCCCCATGGGTCAAGGCCCGAGTGCGGTTTTGCCAGGGCTCTTGTAACGAAGGTGGTGGCAGAATTCTTTTTGCAGCTTTTGAGACAGGGACTTGTTCTGTAACCCAGGCTGGCCAGGAATTCATGACCCTCCTGTTGCAGCCTCCCAAGTGCTGAGATGACAGGCGCACAGCAGGGCCCCTCTGACCTCAGGGAGGCCCGAAGCCCACTTTCTGTGATCACCTAATCAGGCCATGCCCACCAGGGGCAACCTCCTTTACGTGAAACTAAGCTGACCACACCCTAATTATTACATCGTCACATCCCTGTATTCTGCCACCTAAACCTGGGAGTGACACCCTTCCCTGAGCAGGGAGGGGACTGGACAGGGAGGAGTCTCCAGGGCCATCTCTGCCTGCTATATTTGGAGACAGCTGGACCCCAGCTTGTCTGTTGCTGGAGGCACAAAAGGACGTTACTCTGGAAGTGAGGGTAGAGGGAGCATTTATTTAGCACCTACTGTGAGCCAGGCTGAGTTCTAGGCCCTTGAGATGAGCCATGTCTTAGGTCTTCACAGGGAGATGGGAACTGTTAGCCACCTGCTATTCCAGAGGAAACGACCCAAAGCTGGGGTCCTTATTTTATTTTTGCAAGTGCTGGAGATAGAACCTAGGGCTAGCATAGCATCTTCATGGTGGGGGGCTTCTGTCCCCCACAGCTCTGCTGTGCCCAGCCCACAGCCCTGGCCTCCTCCCAACCTGCCTTTTAGCTCCCCATTGTGGCCCTGAGACACACAGGGCTAATGACGGGCATTGCCCAAGCCCAACGTTCCCAGGGCATTGTGGAGAGCTGGGCCAAGCTGATGTCGCCTCCTGCCACCTTTAGAGAGCCTCTGGAGGGCGCCAGGAGGAGGCTGGGATGCTTCTAGACCGGGAGCCCTGGCCTTGGTAGCTCAGAGTCTGGGAGCAAATTTGCATCCTGCCTTTCAGCACCGTGAGTTCTCAGGCACGTGGGGACTCTGCTTCTCATAGTCTGCGTGTGGCAGGTCCTGTGGGTGCCTTCAGTGCAGACCGGGGAAACTGAGGCAGGCCTGGGGCTGCCCCGGGCCACCCCACATCTCTGAGAATGAAACTGCCTATTAGCTTGGGTCCCCAAAGGCCACAGTCACTCTGACAGTGGCCTTGAGGGTGGGAGGAAATGGCCACAGGCGTTCCTGTGCCCTGCTGAGCTCTGGCCCACCCTGACAGGTATGCCTTCACCGTGGTGGCAAACATCGCTGTCTTTGGTGCCGCCTGGCTCCTCCTGCACCTGCAGGGCTCCTCCCGAGCAGGGCCCGCTCAGGGCAGCAACGTGGGTGACCAGCTGGGGGTCCAGGATGTGCCGTGTTCCGGGTAAGCTGGGGCCAGGTGGGCCACCCCAAGCCACCTCGTCATCCGCAGCCACCACTGACCACTTCCCCCACTGCCTTCCCAGACCCTGTCCTGTTGGTGGTGGGCGTGGGTGTCGTCTTCTCGCTGCTGTTCCATCTGGGCACCAGGGAGGGGCGCCGGCAGCGCATAGAGGAGCCGGATGAACACAGTCCCCTGGTGGCCCCGGCCGCCAGGCCTCTGCTGCTCTGGAAACATTGGCTTCGTGAGCCGGCTTTCTACCAGGTGCGTGGGGACCCAGGGCTCCCTTCCTAGGGGAGGGGCTGCAGCCCACACCTAGGGAGACTTCAAGGTGTCCTCCCCACTTGGCCAGCTGTGCAGTCACTGGCAGTGGCCTTGACAGCGGCGCCCCCTGCTGGTGGGATGCAGAAGGGCCTCTGCTGACCCCGTGCGCTGCGGCTATGCCCCCAGGTGGGCGTGCTGTACATGACCACCAGGCTCATGGTGAACCTGTCGCAGACCTACATGGCCACGTACCTCACCCACTCCCTGCACCTGCCCAAGGTGAGCCTGGTGGGGCCTGTGTGGGGGGTGGCGGGATGGAGGGAGGGTGCGCTGTGCCAACACCATTCCCCACTCTGCCCCAACAGAAGTTCATTGCCACCATCCCCTTAGTGATGTACCTCAGCGGCTTCTGCTCATCCTTCCTCATGAAGCCAGTCAACAGACGCATTGGGAGGAACGTGAGTGGCCACCCGGCGGGGCCCTGCCACCCAGAGCCCATGCAACATGGCCTGCAGGCAGGGCCTCCAGAGCTGGAGTTCTGGCCTGGGTGTGGGCCAAGACACTAAGGAATTCCAGGACAGCTCTGTCCTGTGCAGAGCCCAGACTGCACACACTGATTCTTTCTCCCGCTCTCATTTTAATGGACGTCATTTGGAGGGAAAGGGCCACATGTCTTAATGGCTGCTGGGGACTGTCCCACTCAAGCAGCTCGCTCGCTGGGCCAAGGAGAGGGGCAGTGCACTGAGTGGGCTGAGGACCAGTGTGGGCCTGATAAAGCTGGGCCTCCTCCCTTTCCTCCACAGCTGACGTATTTCGTGGGGCTCCTGGTGGTCCTGGCCTTTGCCGCCTGGGTGGCGCTGGCGGAGAGGCTGGGCACGGCTGTGTACGCAGCTGCTGCGCTACTGGGCGCGGGTTGTGCCACAATCCTTGTTACCTCGCTGGCCATGACTGCTGACCTCATTGGCCCCCACACGGTAGGGCTGGTGGGTGGGGCTGTGGGCGGAGCTGGAGGGTGGGGGGTCCTGGGCCCTGAACCCAAGGGTCTGGGCTTTGACTCCCTGCTCTTGTTCCCCAGTATAGTGGAGCCTTCGTGTATGGTGCCATGAGTTTCTCTGATAAAGTGGCCAACGGGCTGGCAGTCATGGCCGTGCAGAGCCTACACCCTTGCCCGTGAGTGCCCCTCGTTCCTTTCTCACTCACCCACAGGCACCGGGACCTGCTCTGCGCCAGGCAGTGCTGTGGGTCTAGGGATCCTGCTCTGGAGGGGATCCTCAGGCTGGGGAGTGCTGCGCATTCCTTCCTTTGGGCTATTTGTTTATTCATTCAACTAACATTGAGTCTGTTGTGAGGGGGTGCTGAGGATCCAATATACAAATGTGTATGGTGGTGGCTGGAGGGGAGCTCAGTCACACAGACCCAGGGATCCAGACACAGATGATTCCAGAGTTGGTCCCTGTGTCAGCCCAGGACTGGGAACAATGCCAGGCACATCAGTAATTCCAAGTATGTGACTGAAGCTGGCAGTGAAGGTGTGAAGGGGACAATCTAGGGAGGCCTCAAAGACCCTGGGCAAGACCTAGCCTGGCATGTTATGAAGGAGCAGCAAGGAGGCCGTGTGGCTGGAGCAGAGGGAGCGAGGGGGACGGAGGGAGGAGGGAGGGGACAGGCAGGTCGTGCAGGGCCCTGTGGGCTGCAGGGAGGACTTGGGCTTTGAGCCTGAGGGAGGCGGGAGCCATGGAGGGCTTTGGGCAGGGGAGGGAGGGCCTGGCTCATGGGCGCCCCCTGGTGGCTGCTGTGGGACCCTGGCGGTGATGGGTCCAGGTGAGCGCTGCTGGAACCAGAGCAGTGTAGGCAGAAGATGGGGAGAAGCGGGTGGATTCTGGAAAAACCCTGAGGTCCAAGCCCAGAGATCCGGCTGAGATGTCCGGTGTGTGTGTGTGTGTGTGTGTGGCGGGGAGGGCGGGGAGTGGAGGGGGGGGCGGGGGAAGAATCAGGACGACCCGAGGGTCGGGATGGGGGAGCCGATCCGATCTGCTCCCTGCTCCCCGGTCCCGTGTCCACTGTGCCCCTCTGCCCTTCCCCAGTTCGGACCTCTGCTGCACAGCCTGCGTGGGCTTCTACCACTGGGTGATGGTGACCGTGACGGGTGGCGTGGGCATTGCTGCTGCCCTGGCGCTCTGCAGCCTGTTCATCTGGCCCATTCGCGTTCGCACTCGTGAGTCAAGACCCCAGCCCCACACGGGGGGGTGGTGTGGGGGGAAAGGCCGGGCTCCCCTCACGCCCCCTTTCCTTTCAGGGGACCCTGGAGACCGGCCCTGACCCCGCGGCCTCCTGCAGCCGTGCCATGGACATTGTTTACATACTTTGCCCCCCGACCCCCCAGGAGCCCGCACCCCGCTTCCCGCCGGATCCTCCCCTGGCTCGGAATCGGTGGATGCGGGCGCGGGCAACGGAGGGAACAGACACCGCTGGGCTGGTGTCCCCTGATGAAGTTGACATCCGGGGGAGGAGGGGTTCCCCCGGACTAATCCATTCCCAGCCCTCTGGACGACGGGGCGCCCCTCTCTGCAGTAGGGGCAGGGTGAGGGGTCCCCCAGGGTCTGGCCGAGCGCAGGCGGAGGGCAGCGGGCTGCTCGGGCCGAGGCTCACGAGGAGGAATAAAGAGCCGCCTGGGCGGTGGGCGAGGACGGCTGCGGTGCTGCTTTTGCGGGGCGGCGCGGAGGACAGCGGCGGCGGGCAGCATGAGCTTTATCGAAACGTGGGCGAGCGCTCGCGCCGGGCCCGCAGGCACGGGGACGCGCAGCAGGGCTCCTGGCCCCACTGCCGGGGGCTCTGCATGATGTAGCGCGGTCGCTGCGGCGCCGACAGGTACGGCACGTAGTCGCACGCCCGCCACGGCGGCTCCGCCCCGAACCGGTTCCTGTTGAGCACTGTCGAAGGGCGAGCGGGGGGCCGCGTCACCGGGAGACCCCGGATTTCCGGGTGGCTGCCCCTGCCCCCTGCCTAGGTGACCCCGTTGTCCCTGGACTTCCGGTGCACCTGCTCGGGTCCCCCGGCCTCACCGTACTCCTTGCCCCGGAAGGGCCTGTCCTTCCACAGCACGCTTCCCCAGCGGGTGTGCGGGCTCCGGTACTGCGCGGGAACGACGGGGTCGTGCCAGGCCGTCTCCCGCAGGTGCTGCGTGTAGGCTGCGGGGAGCTGGGGGTCACTTGGGGCCACCAGCATCTCCCCCCCCCCACGCCCTCGCCGGCCTGGGGCCCGGCGCGGCGGCGCGGCGCACTCACCGGGGGGCAGGCTCCGCTGCCGGTTGTCGTAGCAGCCGTGCCAGCGGGCGTAGGCCTCGCGGTAGGGGCTGTCCAGGGCCCGGGGGAGGTTGTACCAGGCTTCGCGGGGGTCCGAGTTGGTCAGGCCCGTGTACCACAGCTGGCCGGCCGCATCCCGTCCCATGGGCGTGTCCTTCCAGCGCGTGGCCTGCTTGATGGCCGGTGTCCAGCGGGGCCCCTCCAGGGAAACATAGTCATTGCTGAGGGTGAGGGCACAGGCTGAGCGGGGGCTGTCAGGGGACAGCTCCTCTCCTGCCCCACCTTGCCCATCTCGGGCAGGCGCTCTGCCACCTGTGCCATGCTCCGGTGCAAGAATGGAATATTTACTCCTTTGCCAAGGCCCGGGCCGCTGGCTGAGGGACACCCCACCCACAGCAGGCAGAGAAGGAGGGAGGGAGGCCGATCAAGACCCTCCCTGAACCTTAAGCTTTAAGCTTTTCTTGCCTGGTGACAGACCCCAGGGAAGGAGGGCTCCCAGACCCTGAGGTGCCTTCCTCCAGGGCCCTCTCAGCCTGAAGGTGTACCAGGAGGCTGAGCAAGTGACCCAGGGAGGATGTGGTGAGCTCAGGTTTAGTGAGAAATGTGACCTGCACGTGAATGCTGGCCTGGAGGCAGAACCTGGGCGAGGCTGAGCTTGGGAAGGCCCCATAGAGGATAGAGGAGGTGGCATGTGGCATGTGCACAGATCCTGGGGCAGTGGGGACCATTACAGGAAGGAAACCTGCACTGTTAGTGGAAATATGGCACTCCTGCCTCACTGGGTCATTAAAACTAAAACTGTAGGACTGGTGAAGTGGCTCAAGTGGTAGAGTGCCTGCCTAGCAAGCATGAAGCCCTGAGTTCAAACCCCAGTACTGCCAAAAAAAAAGAAAAAAATCTAAAACGAGAGACCGAGAGTGCAGCTCAGTGGCAAATGCTTGTCTGGCATGTGGGAGGCCTTGGGTTCATCCCCAGCACTGCACAACCAAGCAGTGTGCAGTAGTGTCCCACAGACTTTTCCCAACGGGAGTGGTGACACACACCTGTGATCCCAGCACTTGCAGATGGGTCAGGAAGATGGAGAGGTCAAGGCTAGTCTGGGCTACATATCCCTTGTCAGAAAAATATTTTTCTTTCTTTTCTCTTTTCCCTGTACCTGGCTGTTCTTTCTAGTTTTTTTCTGCCTCCTTTTAGAAGCCAGCAGGGAGTATGTGCACTCCTTCATCACCCAAAGGTGGTCACTCCAGCGATCTGATTTTTCCTTTTTCTTCTTGTGATCCTCCCGATCTCTGCCTCCTGAGTAGCTAGGGCTGATTTCTCCCTCCCTCTCTCCTTCCGTCCTTCTCTCTCTCCTTTCTGTTCCTTACTCCCACCCCTGCTGACTTTTTGACAGGGCCTCACTTGTGTAGCCCGGTCTGGCCTGGGACTTGTCATCCTTCTGGCCCAGACTCCCTTAGTGCTGGGATCACAGGTGTCACCACCACACCAGGGAAAATGGTTGCTTGTTAGTAGGTACAGAACTAGGTTGAATAGGTCCCCCCAAATTCATGGTCACCCCAGAACCTCAGAATGCAACCTTATTTGGAAATAAGATTTTAAGGGCTGTACTTCATTAAGATGAGGTCACTCTCAGTGGGGGTGGCCCTAACCCAACGCTGGTGTCCATGTAAGGCAAGGGAAATTTGGACCCAGACCCACAGGGAGACCAAAGGAAGGCAAAGCCAAAGTGAGAAGCCAAAGAGCAGCCGCTGAGGATGGCCAAGAGCTGGGGGACTGAGGCAGCTCTCCCTGAGGGCCACCAGGTGGGACCAACTGTGCCCTCACACCCCAACAGGGACATGTTCTGACCTCCAGCTCTCCATGCTCCTGCCTCAGCCTCAGAGTGCTGCAGTGACAGGTAGAGCCACCATTTCTGATGGGGACTCATTCCCAGAGCTAGGACAGAATGAACCTCCAACATTTGGGTACCAGGGAACTAAGCCAGGGCTGTCATCAGCCCAGTCCCTGCAGGGGTGTGGTTCCTGACCACCAGGGCTCAGGCATCCGTGTCCTGTCCACCTCCACGGAGCCCAAGTTCACCACTGCAGCTGCAGGTGGAGGAGCTGGCAGTTGGGCTCAGGGAAAGGTCCCATAACACACCACACATCAAGGGGACAAACTGAATCCTTTCATGACCAAGCTCAGACAGCATGGAGGACCCCTGTGCTGGGGACAGGCAGGGACCCACCTGTAGGGAGAGGCCGGGAAGTCAAGTTCAAGGGTGCCCGAAGGGATGTAGGGCCGGACCTCCCGCCTTAGGGTCTGCATGTCTGCCTCTGTGTCCCCTGAGGCTCCTGCCCAGAAAGCCACTAGGGTCATTGTTGACAGCAACAATGGCCACCCACCCATGGTGTCCTGGCAACTGGCAGGCGGCTGGTCAGTCCAGGGCCCCACCCTGACTGCGCCCTCCCTCCTCCCTGGTTGTGGGGTGGAGTGGGGCCTCCAGGGGTGGGGAGCCTCTCCCAACATCTGATGGTGCAGGGCAGGCAGCAGGTGGGGTTTGGGGCTCTTGAGACAGGCTGCTCCTGACCTCACCCAGGGCTTTGCCACTCCGTTCCAGGGCGTCTGGATGTCCCCACTCAGCGTTGGGGCAGCTCTCCCTCCTGGTGCCAGCACAAGTCCCCACTGCCTCCTCACCCACCTGTCCTCACAATGCTCTATCCAGAGCAAGGCTGGCCGTGGCGTCCACAGCAGCCCAAAGGTGGGAACAGCCCAGTATCCACAGACCACGCTGGAGCTCTGTCTGGCTTGCATAGGTGGAGGCTGACCCATGCCACAGCGTGGAGGGACCCAGAGGACATGGTGCTGAAAGCAGCAGCAGACACAAAGACCCCTGTGTGTGACTGCATTGATAGGAAATGTCCAAGAATAGATGAATCCACAGACAGGAAGTGGACTGGTGGGGCCAGACCTGAAGGGGATGGGGTGGCTCTTGATAGGAGCAGGGCTTCCTTTGGAGTGATGGAATTTTCTGGAATTAGTGGTGATGGTTATAAAACTGAGTAATTCCACTGAGTCACTCTTTGGCAGTGTATTGAATGTCACATATATTTTACCACGACAAAAAATGTAAACAAAACAAATTCCAATAAACACGCAGAATCTGCCTGCCTTGTACCACCTCCACCTGGTCTTGGACTGGGGAAGAAGCCTATCCCTGCTGTCAGGTCATCACACAGCAGATCCCTTTCCCCTCTGTACACCCAGGGCTCCCACTTTCCTCAGGTCACCTGTCCTGCTCGAGCTGCATGACCTCCTCACTGCTCCTCTATACACTAAGCTTCACTGCCTGCTGCCTCCCTGTTTGTTCAGTAAGGTGTACAGTGAGGCCCAGATTCAAAGCTGCTGTCCTTTTCCACAGCCTCCTGTCCACAGCAGTGACAGCCATACGTACACACTTCCTAGTGCCTTTTTTTTTTTTTTTTTTTTGTGGTACTGGGGCTTGAACTCAGGGCCCACCTTGAGCCACTCCACCAGCCTTTTTGTGATGGGTTTTTTCAAGATGGGGTCTCATGGAACTATCTGCCTGGGCTGGCTTTGACCCCCGATCCTCCTGATATCTGCCTCCTGAGTAGCTGGGATTATAGGTGTGAGCCATGGCACCCAGCTCCTCCCTTGTCCTTGGACTTGCACACTACACACAAGAGCAGGTCTGGGTTCTGATCTGTTCTTTGTAGGACTTTGGCACATCTCACGTGGTGGGAGGGGCCTGGGGTACACAGAGTGAGCCTCCAGAAACCTTGGGGCCAATGGCCAGCCAGGCCCTTCCCTGCTCCCCTGACCCCACACCATCTGTCAACCAGACCCCAGCCAGGCACCTGCTGTCCTCATGATCCTAGAGACGATTCCTAGAAACCCCGGCTCTTGCACCACCCGCTCCCACCTCCACCATCCCCAGCAGCCCTTGCCTCTCCATGCCTCTCCCTCTCCAAGTGCTATCAGCTCTCCATAACTACACTTACAACCACCAGCTCCCCTCACATCTTCCCCTTCTCCATTCTGTCTATTCCAACAGCTACCTTCCAACACCCACAGAAACCGAGACACATCTTACAGCACCCCTCCATTGGCCACCCTTGGGCAGCACCATGCCCCTGACCTGACACTCTTCACCCCTGGGGTCCCTTCTTTCTCAAGTCAGCCATTCCTGTGGCAGCCAGAACCACCCACTTGGCGTGGGATCTGTAAGGCAGTCACCAGTCCCTCCAATCTATCCTCCCCACAGGAGGGTGACACCTTGGCACAAGGACTCAGTGGCTGTGCCTCTGTCAGTCTCACAGGACTGTGGTTTTGGGGCTATCCCCAGTGGTGGGAGGCTTCTACCCAGGGAGGTGTGGTGGCTTGGGGGGACGACTGGGACCCACCTGACAGGACCCACAGACAGCAGTCATCCTTGCTACTCAAGTCCACATCCTGTTTAATGACAATGACGCTGCATCACAGAAGAGGGCCACTCTGTCCCAGGATGCCCAGGACTCAAGCTGTGCGTGCCTCTGTCTGGCCCTGTAGGGTTCACCGAGGGAAGTGGCAGAGGCCGTGTTGAGGCACACAGCAGGCCGGCTCCTGTGGCCAGGGCAGCACCAGGCTCTTTGGCAACTGCACAGGGCTGGGGGTAGGGTCCAGATGAGGCTCCTCTTATTTAAGAAGAAACTTCAAGAGCACGACACGACCGATCACATAGCTCTGGTGCGCACTGGCCTGGCCCCTACAGCCAGCACGCAGCAGAAGCCAGTCTGTCAGCAGGCACAACGGGTCACCCTCAGTGACATGTCTGTCCTGAGGGACCCAGAGAGGCTACCAGCTCTCACCCACCTGCCTCCAACAATTCAGGACTGGCCAACAAAACACAGAAACAAATCAGAGGGAGTCACAAATACATATATACACATGCACACATACACAGCCCAAGGCTGCCAGAGAGGGAGGGCTGCCCTTCCTGCCTACCCCGGACCACGTCCCCCAGAGCAGCCCCACCAGGGAGGGCCTCAAACCAGAGCCAGAGCTGCTGGCTAGGGGAAGAGGCAGGAAGAGACAGGATCTGAGGTCAGGGGAAGCCTAGGAAGCTTCCAGAGGGCTGGGAGTGCCCTTCCTACCGCAGGCAACCAGGTCAAGATGAGGCAGGTGGCCGGAAGAGAGAGCACAGGACACACCCAACTGCCCTGTGGTCACTGGTCCAGGCAACTTCAGCAGCCCAGTGTCCGCAGGCACACAGAAGCCTGAGTCCCACTCAGGAAGTGGAAGCAGGGCAAATGCAGGACATGAGTGATGTGGTATCCCATGATGACAAGTCCACGGGGAGATGTTCGAGGTGGGAGGTACCAGCCCCACAACGGCACCTCCCAGGCGGCCCCCAGCTTGAGTGGTGCCGAGGCCACTGCCCAGGTAGGTGGAGGTGCAGAGGGCTGCAGACGCCCTTGGTCCGCTGACTCCCCGCTGGTTACACGGTCAGCAATGATTTGACGTGGTCTCAGGCCTCCGGCTCAGCTGTCTCCGCTGGCCAGTGTGATGTCAGCTGTCCATCTGACATGGATGTGGGCAGCGGCAGCGGGGTGGGCACGGGTTTCCGGGCACAGCATGCAGCCAGGAACAGCATGGTGGAAAGACGTGGGCGAGGGTGATGGGGACGTCCATCCTGCTCCAAGCTGATGGTCTGGGTGGAGCCTCAGGGACACAGGGAGGTTCTTGCCCTTGGAGAAGGGCGATGGAGGCCACTGCTGAGGGTCCCCACGTCCCCGCCCCAGACACTGGTGGACATGGCTCACAATGAGGCGTTTAATGAGACTCTTCAGGGGTCTCCGGCCCAGTGCCCGCCCGCCCGGCCGCCTCCTCTGGGGACTGCGGGAAGCAGGGTCCATGCCAGCTGGCCAGTCAGGTCTCCCTGGACAGAGGCACACTATCCACCCGGCGGGTCTACCGGATCCGGGTGAAGAGATTAAGCACCGACACGGACTCCTGTGGACAGGGGATGCATAAGCCACGGCATGCCCGGAAGGACCACCAACTTGGTGGCCATGGCCCAGAGCCGAGAAACCATGAGGCCCCAACGGTCCTAGGGCAGTGTGGCCAAGGATGCAAGGCAGGCCTGGGCCCTCAGGGGCACAGTGATGCTGGCCCACCTTACCTTTGTTGAGCGGGTTTTGCTGAAGACGTTCCAGAACCTCAAGGTTTCATCTCCAGCACCAGTGACAATGGCCTCCCCATCAGGGGACATTGCCTGTGGAAAGGACAGAAGCTCCTGGGTGTCCTTGAGCCTCTGCAGGCAGCTCCAGGGATGGAGGGAGGCCAGGAGGCAGGGAGGAGGCACAGGTGACTGGGCCCAGCCAGAGGCCCAAGGCAGAGAAGCCCAGGTGGGGGCCAGAAGGCAGAGGACAGTTAGTTCCGGCCAGTAGCGGAAGGTGGAAATGTGCACAGATGAGTGGCATGTAGACAACCACAGTCTGGTTGTGTGAGGCCCATGCAGCCCCACACAGAGCAGATTTTTGCTGGGAAGCAAAACCACGTGGAGTGAGGGCAGGGAGAGGTCACCTTGCCACTCTGCAGCCACCTGAGGATGGCATCTGAGAGGCTAGACATGGTTATTTGGCTTCCTTCTATCTCTTTCCGTGGAAAGTGAAATAAAAACGTGACCAGGTAAGAGTGTAGGAGAGCAGAGCTTCCTCACAGTGGTGGGGATAGTGGTGGGGCGCCCGGCCACAGCACTCACCAGGTAGAGGACGCGGTACGAGTGCCCAGTGAGCTTGGCCACCTGGGTGAGGGATGGGTATTTCCACACGAGGATCTGGTTCTGCGAGTAGCCATGTGTGCTCACCTGGGGGGCAAGGCACTGCGGTCAACTGAGGTGCCCAGGGAGTCCCTCCACAGCCCAGGAGCTCCAAAGGGGGTGCCCCACCCCCACCAACATGGGAACCCAGCCAGGACCCCTGCTGCTTCAGCCCTTCCCTCTGCAGGGCTGGAGAGCCACCCAAGTCAAGGTGCCAAGGAAGGGTTGGGAGAAGCGAACCCTCCTCCCAGACCCTGCCCCCCACTGCTTCCTGCCTCCGCCCAGCTCCTGGAATGGGCCAGGCCAGGCCAGGCCAGGCCAAGCGCAGCCTCCCCAGTCACAGTGCTCACCAGCTCGTTGGCGTGCTTGGACCAGGCCAAGTTGCACACTTGGGAGCCCGTGTCGATGCACTGCAGCGGCTGGCCAGTGAGTGTGTTCCAGAAGCGGATGCAGCGGTCTGCTGTGCCGCCGCCCGATGCCAGCAAGCCGTGCTGGTGAGGGGACCAGGCGATGGCCTTCACGGCTGCCAGGTGCTCTGTGTACTGCTGCACGGGGCTCAGGCTTGAATGGTTCCAGACCAGCAGCTGCAGGGCAGCAGCTGTGAGACCCAGACACAGAGGACCCCAAAGGCCGCCCCTGCCCCAGGAAGAGAAGGCTGCACCCCTGAGAAGATAGGCCTATAGCCCCCCCAGACCCTGCCATGGTCCAGACCCCTTCCTTGGGGATTCAGGTCACACCCTTGACATTCTGCTTTACTGAGTGGGACTGCCTGAGCAGCGGGGCCAAGGCCAGGTGGCCTCGAGAAGCAGAGCCAGCCTGCCCTGCTGCACTGTGCCCCACGGCCACCACTGCTGTGGAGAGGGACACAGCCCACAACAGTGCCAAGCCATACCTTGTTGTCATTGCCCCCAGAGGCGAGGAGCTGGTGGTCCGTGGACCACTTGAGGCCACAGACCTCCTGCCGGTGGCCCTGAAGCCGCCGCTCCGACTGCAGGGGTGGGGTGCGGATGTCCCTCTGTAGGATCATGCGGTCCCGGCTACCCGATGAGAGCTGGTCAGCATTCCAGGCCAGTGCCCCTGGACACAGACAGAAGGCAGGGTGAGCCTGGGCCAGGCCAGGAGCCATGGCCATGATGGGGGACCAGTCCACGGGGCCAGGGCTCCTCACCAACACGCGCCGTGTGACCTTCCAGCATGGACAACTTCTTCCCCGCAGCCGCATCCCAGATCTGCACAAAGCCCTTGTGTGTGCCAACAGCTACCAGGTTTCCCTGAAGGTGACAGTGTGGGCAGGGCAGCCCTCAGGCTGAGGTACAGAGGACCCAGCAACCCGCCTAGACCTGGTACCTGGCTCGCCCATCACTAGGCACTCCAGTGGCCTCAGAAAACTCTTGCCAGCTACTCAGTGACACTTCAAACCCATCCTGGGGCTTTGCAGTCACATGGGCATGGCCTTGTCAGGATCCAGCCAAGACCTAAGATTTGCCTGTATCCCTGCTCTAGGAGGTGGGGACAGAAGGGTGGGGAGTTCTAGGCTAGCCTGGGTTCCCTAGTGAGAGCCTCGAAAGTGCTGCTCAGTGAGAGCCGAGAGTATGCAAGGCCCTGTGTGCATCCCCAGCAACACCTCCCCCCCAAAAAAATATAAAAGCCCAACTCAAAACCAAAGAAACCAAAAGCTGCAAGTGCAACAGCCCTGAATGTCAACCGGGACTCAAGGGAGCTAAAATCAGAGCTGAGGTCACTCTGCCAGGCTTTGGGGCCCCTGGGTCCTCCGCTCCCTTTCCACCAACTGCTGTGAATGGCCACACAGGGCGTGCTGCCCTCCCCCAGCTGCTGATGCTGCTATGGGGCACTGAAGAAGCAGTGCTGTAAGCGACCCAAGGCCACTGTGTCTCCACAACTCTTATCAGTAATGTACCAAGACTGGGGACACAGACCTAAGATGGACACAGGTGACCCTGGGGCCATGCTTGGATTCTCTGGGCAACCAGCCCTTAGTACTCACTCGCTCAGACCAGCCCACAGAGGTCACAGAGTCCCCTTCCACAGAGAGGTCGCAGAGCCGGGTCACCTGAGGGTAGAAAGCAGAGTGAGATGACATGGTCCCTTGCCCCTTCCTTCCTTCATTACTCAGCAAGTCAAGTCCATGGGGTGCCCAGGCTGACTGTGCAATGCTTGGGGGGCTTTGGGGGTGGGAGGACATAGGTCAGCATAGGAAGTGTCACTCAGGACCCGGGCAGGACCAGGCTGCAGACAGCCTGGAGGAGGGAATACTAAGCCAGCCCTCACTCTCTTCTGGGTCCACTTGTTTGTTCTATCCCTGAAAAGTCCAGAGCTGGGAGGCAGCCTTACTGCCACTGTCACAAGGCTGACTCCTTGTGGGGCCTGGTGGGGAGGGGTTCCCAGTGGCCACATGGAGAGAACAAGTCTCTTCTGTGGAGACAGGCGGAGCTGCGGCTCAGGCAGGGGACCCACCACTGTGGTTGCCAGTCCCAACTGGGAGGGACACAGCAGGCGCTTGGCTTGTCCCTGGTCCCTCCACACACTGGACTTGGTGGGAGCTGCAAAGACTCCAGAGGGCAAAGCAGGTACAGACAGGTGGGGTTGACATCCCCTGGCTCCACAGCCCCCAGCAACGTCAACACCCTCCCAGGGGCCTGCAGCCCACCTGGCTGGTGCATGCGCTCCACAGGTACACACAGGTGCCCAGCCCCACACTGAGCACGTTGAGGGATGACCAGTCCACCAGGTTCAGGTAGAAGTCGTCCTGCAGCTCGGGCGCATCCAGCACCTTGAAGGGGATTTTGGAGATCTTGCGTGTGGGTTTCCGTGGGGAGCGCAGCAGCTTCTGACTGGAGAGGGCAGAGCAGGAGCTACTTTGCGTGGTGGCCGGCTGCTGAGGCCGTCCCTCCCCCGCCATGCCTCATGACCACTGCCTAGGAGCCTGGGGCTCCTGCTCCCCTGCACACTTCCACCCCCAGGATGAGCCTGTGGCCGCTGTGGCCTTCAGCCTCCCCACAACAGGGTAGCCATGTGCAGTAAGGGGTCCGCCCGCACTGGTGTAGGGCCTGGAGTCCATGGCCACATGGAGGGAGAGGCCTCTCCACTGCCAGCACCTGGGCGTGGCCTCTGCCCCTGCTGACCTCAGCCCCATCACAGGGCCCACAGAGAAGCCACCACTGAGGAACCTGGCCTCACCTCTTGTTGCTGACAGGGGACAAGGAGTATGGGGACACGTCATTGCCATCATCGGGGCTTGAGCGCTTGGTGCTGAGGGAATACTGGGGGCAGAAGACATCCTGCTGAGTGGATGTCATGATCCAAGACCCAAACCCCGAGCAGCCCAGAGCCGGTGCAGACTGAGGCAGTGCTGGAATTGAGAAGGAGGCCCTGAGCAGGGACAGGCCCTCAGGCCTTGCACCAGGGACCTCTGTGAACCGTCCCTGCAGCCTTCTCTCCTTAGGCCCCTGCCAGGCTCTAGCTGACCCTGACTGCAGGCTCCCTGACCATGCAGAATGAAACGAGGGCCTAGGATACTCCTGAGGGAGGGGAGGTCCTGCCCCTCCTCCAGCCACCCTCAGCTGCACCTACCACAGGTGCCCTCCATTCTGGCAAGGTGCCCAGCCCATGCAGGGCAAGCGGTAAACACAGTCTGGCTGGGCGGCCTTCAGGCTGGGACTCACCGTGAAGAGGCCCTTCCTCTCGGGCGTGGAGGGCTGCAGCCGGCGGTCCTCGGTCTGTGGGTCCTGCACCTTCTCAATGCCGGCACCCAGCAGCTCATTCTTCAGCAGGGCGGAGTAGGCCAGGCCATCTGCGGGCAGCGCACAGTGAGTTCAGTGAGTTGGGTGTGCGGGGCTGTCCCCCTCCTGGGCTGTGTGCAGGGCATGCGCACTGGGCTGCTCACCTTTGCCGTTGTCTGAAGTGGCGTCCTTGGCTTTCCGGTTCTGGCTAGGTGATTTCTCATTTTCCTACAGGGGAGGAAACACAGGGAGGAGGGGAGGAGGCAACAGGGAGGCTCAGAGAGGGGCTGTTCCCTCCACCCCCCACCCCTGGGTGCCCGTTGCTGGCCAGGCTCTCACATTGATCCTGTGGAAGTTCACACTCCAGTTGGCCCCGGCTCGAGAGGGGATGAAGCGGTCCCCATGCTTGCTGGGGGAGGACACTGGGGAGTTGGCTGGTGTCAGGGTCCGCCGCATCTCTGAGACCTGGAAAAGGTAGGGTGTTTGCTTCAACTCCAGGGCCCCAGAGGACCCCAGGTGTCCACCATACACTGCAGCCCAGAGAAACAGCCAGTGGGGCCTGGAGCCCATCCAGAGCCTCACACCAAGAAACAGCAGGTGAGAGGGGTGGGAAATACAGGCAACAGAAAACAAGGGTCCCCCAAATCCCATGCCCTGGGGAAGGGAGGTGGGGCAGGTCCCCAAAAGTCCCCCTCGTGCCCCCATCCCTCCTCTGCAGTTATAGATTATGGGCCTGGCCTAATCCCAGTTCTATGGTCCTTGGGCACCCAGCCACCTGGACCATGGCCTCTCCCAGTCTGGGAGGTAGAGGCCCTGGGTGAATATGGGGTGGCACCCACCAGGGGAGGGGCTCCAACAGCAGAGACTATCCAGCATGCAGGAGCACTAGGCCACCTGGCCACCAAGAGACTCCGGGAAATGGCAGGTCTTGGGCCCTGCTGCTTCTGGAGTGACTGCAGCCCCTGCCCCTGCCCTGCAGGCCTGTGTGCGGGAGGGCAGCACTCACACACGGCATCGTGTTCTCATTCTGGATGACGATCTGGCGCAGCAGCCGTCGCTCGTAGTCTTGGTCCATCCTGGGCAGGGCGGGGCAGGGCCCCGGCCAGGGCAGCCTGGGGCAAAGGGCGGGAGGTCAGCCTGGCAGTTTAAGGACAGGAGAAACCCAGCTGCTGCAACCCCCAGAGCTACTGCGAATTCAAGAATGGGAAGCTGGTAACACTGGGGGGACAAGCAGGTGCTCCTGAAGTTCCTCTGCAAGAAGTCTTTCCCAGGCCTGACCCCCACCCCTGGCTTGGCCCTGCCCTGCCTGCACCCTGTCTGCTGGGAAAGGGCTCCGCTCTTGGGGTCCAGAGTGGAAGGTGGAAGCGACGAGCTGTCACCGTGAGCACAGGCAGCCTGCTGTTCTGACACATAAGGCAGGAGCCAAAACCCCTAAGCTGCAGGTGCAAGTTTGGGGGTCTGTAAGGTTCGTTCCACAGGGTCTGCTGAAAGCTAACAGGCAAGTGCACCAGGGGCCAGACCAGACCAGACCAGCATGTGGTTCAGGACTGCCACCACCGGCCACCCTCAGCCGCGATCACAGGCTCACACCAGCTATGACTGTGACGGTGGGTGCCCTGCAAGCTCAGATCAATGGGGAGGAGGGTCCTCCAAAGAGGCACCATGTTGGGCTGAGGCATGGGAGGGGCACTGGCAGAGCAGACAGGAAAGAACATTCTGCAGAGGGAAGTACACCTACAGGCAGCTGACGGCAGAGCCAAGGTTGGGGCGCAGATGGGGTGAGAAGGTGCTCCAGGATGGTGCTGTGGGGTTGGCATGCGGTGCCCAGGGCCGCATCCAGAGCACCTGCTCCTGTGAGTGAAGCACCAGTGCTTACAAGTCCACTGCAGCTTCTAGTCACCACAGCAGAGATGTGGGGGAAGCATATGGCTGGGAATGGTGACCTTGGCCCACAAAGAAAGACCTGCTGGGTTTCAGGACAGCCTCAGAACACTCTTAGGATAGGGCCTGGCCAAGGGTTCTAGGGAACCCCACCGTCCTCTTGCCTGCTCTGAACCCTAGACACCTCCCACAGCCTCTGGTCCACCAGTGCCTCAACCACTTAGGCTCCTCCTGCCAGAGCCCTGGGCCTCCACCAGGTCTCTGGACTGCCTATGCAGAATCAAAAGCAAAGGCTGCGCGACACCCTGCCAGCCCTCTCCAAAACTTCCACCTTCCCGAAGCAGCTTTGTATCATTCAACACCAACCCTCAGCTCCGGCCCCCTGCCTGGCCCTGGCAACCACTTTGGTGCTAGTTCCTAAAATGGCTGCACAGTCATGTGACCTAGCAATTCCACTCCTAAAATGTGCACCCGAGAGGAGGGGACACATAACAGAGCCTGCACACCTGAGCGAAGGAATAGCCCCGTGTCCATGGATGGAGAACGAGACACAGACAGCATGTCCATCCACACACTGGGACATGGTTCTACGGTCAGAATGACCAGGCTCTGCCACACGCGCCCCCTAGTGGCTCAATCCAAAGCATGGGTTGCAGTCCATTTGGGCCACAGAGCAGCCTTGTAAGTGGTGACAGCTCTCTCTGCTTCAGAGTCTCCCCACTCACAGGTCCACTGGCGCTCTTAGGATCAGTATCCCCAACCTCCATCTGCCCAGAGACCTGCCCCTGCCCAGGGCCCCAAATGTACCCTCACCACACTGGTTGCACACAGGACACAGAGACACCTGTCTGTGTGTCTGTCCTGACAGAGACACCTGATCAGGGCAGCATCCTGACCCCTGGCACCAGCCGTGTCAGGAGCATAGCAGCAGGCCAATGTTACACAGACCTGGGATGAGTAGGCAGTACCACCCTAACCATGTACCCTGGTTGGTGTGATTGGGTGGCCACATGGCAGGACAGAGCAAGCATCGTTGTTTTGGTAGGTTCCTGGTGTCGGACCCCTGCTGGCCAGCTTTCTGCTGTTCACAGGGCTCAGTAGCGGGAAGCCTCAGGGTGAAACAGCCCCATGGGTCTCCTGACTGGGGGCCTGACTCACAGGTGACATGAGGATTCACACACACCCACACTTGCAAAGCAAAACAGGGGGCAGAGGCCACTTTCAGAAGCAGCATCATGCTGGGTGCTGGTGATGTGCCTATAATCCTAGCTACTTGGGAGATTTGGAGGATCGATGTTCGAGTCCAGTCCAGGCAAACAGTTTGCAAGACCCCATCTCCAAAACAACCACAGCAGAAACGGCCTGGAGGTGTGGCTCAAGAGGCAGAGCACCTACTGTGCAAGCATGAAGACATGTGCTCAAACCTCAGTCCCACCAAATAGAAAAAGCTAATGCAAAAGCAGCATCGCAGCTGGGTGTGGTGGGCACACTTGTGATCCCAGCACTCAGGAGGCTAAGGCAGGAGGGTTCAAGGTTCTAGGCCAGCCTGGGCTCCATATCGAGCCCCTGGGTCAACATAAACAAACCAAAAACAGCCCCAAAGCAGACTGCCTGCCTCATTGACTGCCGCCCCCCACCCCCCCGCCACACTATGGGCAGGCTCCTGGGGGAACTCCCACAGGAGAAGGAGTCAAGTCCACCCATGAGCAACCACTGGGCAGCAGCAGGAGAGGACCAGCAGCTGGAAACATGTTTCATCAATAGCAGGACTCAGACAAAAGTCTGGCCATCTTTGCACACTACAAAGAAGCACAGCCCAAATGCCAGGTGATTTCAGCGGACCCTGGCTCTCCCTGCAGGAGTTTGGGAACTGAAGCCACTCTGGTCAGCTCATGTTGGGGGCGGGTAGGTCTGATGCCCATGGGCACAGGGTTCATGGCCGAGGGTCAGGCACCTTCCAGATTCCCCCGGTGTGTGGGGTCCTGGCTCCAGATCTGTGCACATGTCACTTCACACAGCAAGAAAGTGCAGATGGGATCAAGATAAGGACCCTGAGCTGGGATTATCCTGGATCATGTAGGACCCAGTGTCACTATGGAGTCCTCATAAGAGGGAGGGAGGAAGTCAGAGAAAGAGAGAGACTGGGAAACGCTGCTGCTGCTCTGAGGAGGGAGGAAGGGGATGTCTCTCTAAGAGCTGGGACAGCTGGGACTCAAGCCTCTCTGAAGGGACCAGTCCTGCCACCTAGGCTGTCGCCCAATAGGACTGATTCTGGACTCATAGGACTCACTGCATCAGCTGCAGGAGCTCCCACTGGGCAGGGTGGAGGGTTCCCATGGAGGCCTTCTCTGTCCCCCCATGAAGCACCTGTGGACCAGGGGTACTGACAGCCATGGTCCCATTCACCTGAGCTTCCTGCCTAGTGGGACAGCCAGCAAGCACCGTAGAGCCAGGAAGCAAGGTTCAAATTGGCCCAGCAACCAGCTGCGGAAAGAAGACGGGCAAAAGCTCTGGGATCCAACTGGGACCAGCTGCCGAAGACCCAGTACCCCAGAAGGATGCAGGGCACTGTCCCACATGGACTCAGGCTCAGCTTGTCTGCTGGATAGGCAGGGCAGCCTCTCCTTTCTGCATCCTCAGAGGCACCCCCAAACCATGCACGTTCAGCCACAGGGCCATGCCTTCTCAGTCAATGAAGAAGTCCATAACACAAATTTTACTCATTAAAGAATTTAGGACCTGGCATTGGTGGCTCACGCCTGTAATCCTAGCTACTCAGGAGGCAGAGATCAGGAGGATCATGGTTCAAAGACAGCCCAGGCAAATAATCCACGAGACCCTATCTCGAAAAAAGGCTGGTGGAATGGCTTAAGCAGTAGAGTGCCTGAATTGCAAGTGTGTAGTCCTGAGTTCAAACCCAAGACCCACCCTGAATTCAGATCCAGACCCACCAAAAAAAAAAAAAATTTAGGTTCTGAGCCAAGTGTAGTATGCATGGCTGTCATCTCAACACTCAGGAGGCTGAGACAGGAGAATCATGAGTTCTAGGCCAATGTGGGCTACAGAGCAAGACCCTGATTTAAAAAAACCAAAAAAACAAAAGCACAAAGTAAGGCTGGACAAGGTGGCTCACGCCTGCAATCCTAGCTACTCGGGAGGTGGAGATCGGGAGGACTAAGGTTTGAGGTCAGCTGGGCAAAAAGCTAGCGAGCCCTCATCTCAGACCAATAAACAGTGGGTATGGTGAGTGCCTGTCACCTCAGCTACACAGGAGCCATAAATACACTGGAGGCTCCTGGTCCAAGCCCGCCTGCACATACAGCAAGACCCTATTTCAAAGCAAACCAACATAAAAAGGGCTGGGGTGGCTCAAGTGGTAGAGCACCTGCCTAGCAAGTGCAAGGCCCTGAGTTCAAACCCCAGTACCACAAAAAAATCCAAGAAAACAGAAACAAGTATTTAGGTCCACATTATATGGTGGCAGATAACCCTTTTTTGCTTGGTTTATCTGGCAGGGAGGCTTGCTCTAGAAGCCTCCTCAGGTGGAGTAGCATTTGCACGGAGACTGCGTATTTTTTTTTTTTTTTTTTGAATCCAGGGCCTCACGTCTGTGAGGCAAGCATCACACCTCTGAAGCCTGTGATCCAGGATTGGCTGAAGTGAAGGGTGCAGGGCCGTGGGCCTGGAGGGCCACACATGGGTCTCAGTGTGTGACCTTGGACACTAGTGCAGGGTTTCAAGAACAAGGGGATCCACGCAGATCACATGGCCAGCATGTGCCCTGCCACATCAGGCTGGCCCATTTAGCAGTCATGTCATAAAGTCTAATGGTGACTGGGAACACAGCAGCCCCTCCCCCCACCGCAGGGGCTGGGCACTGGGCAAGGCATGGCACGGCCGGTGGGAGACACAGCCCTCTCGCAGGGCAGGGAACCAGTAAGTTCAAGGGCTGCAACACCACAGCCCACAATGACAGGGCAAAACCACACAGCCCCAGCAGCCCAGCTGTCCCTAAGCCCCGGCTCGAGCCCGGCCTTGGACCAGGGCCAGGAGCACTGCCAGTCTGAGACACTCCTCCCACTTCAGACATGGGCAGGACTCTGAGGAAGGAGCCTCCTGAGGCACCCAAACCACAGGGCTGCAGGGTAAAGACCCCCCACACACACCTGTGCAGCAGGGAGGAAGGCCTGGGGCTGAGAGCCATAGCTGGGCTCGGTGACAGAGAAACGAA